ATCAAAATGTTGTTTGAATCTAACAGACAATAAACTCATATATTTTCGATTGATTATTTTGATTAGATTTCGTATGTGGATTGGATGGAAATGTCTATGAAATGGGTAAATGAGATAAAACGTTTGGCACAAAAAGCAATAGGGTTCTGTTTTTCTTTTCTTTTTTGAAAAATTTTATATTGAAAATCATCTATTAGAAGGAACCAAACAACAGGAGTGACAATTAAGTCATGTCAAATTAGAGTTGTTGAGGTTATTCGTGTAACAATGGTTCACTCGCGTGCAATGAGTACATCTAATTATGATAAGTCACTTGACTCGAACACTCTCTTGTGTAACATATTTCAAATATGAGCACTTAAAGATTCCGAATGACTAAATATGCAAGCTGTAGTTCGGTATCAGTTGTCTCATCTGGTCAATCCCATCCCACACAAAAAGGATTTTGATCTAAGTCTGTACTATACCTGGAAATGAAAGTGAAGGAAATGTCGAACTCAAATAAAAGGTGGAGTGAAAGTACCTACTTATGTTTAGGCGTGGTGGTCTTGAAAAGCGAGCTCATAATTTTACAACAAATTATATTGAGCAATATTCATGGCATACTATTTCAGGTGTTAACATGGAGATATACTATGAAACATTATGAAACATAACTACAACTTATTTATTAAATATTTCATGTGAATATGAGTCAGTTAACAATAGTGTCAAAAATTTTACCTTAAATCCATCAATTTCATTTTGGATTCATGTGGTATTAATGACACTTTCCAAACATTATCCCTCCAATTAAAAGATAATTTAGCTACATTAAAGTGATGACAAATTCACTATTTGAAAATTTCACTAGACAAGTCAAAATAAATAAATCAAAATTGATTTAAATGTGTACCCTTTATTGAGACATCGTTAAAGAAGATACAAAGACTTGGGTTTAGCATCTTCACTTTTCATTGTTTTTTTTTTTGGTATGAGACTTTTCATTGTTCATAACTCACTCTTATCATTAATTGTTTAGATGCTTGGACCCCACAAGTTAAAAAAAAAAAAGGATCTTGTACTTGTGGGGACAAATTTACATAACAAAATATATAACCATTAAATTTACTCTTCATTCATGCCATGGTGAAAATCATTCCACAATATTCTACTTTATCTTTTAATAGTGGTTCAATTATGCTTTGTTCCTTTGTAAACTTTGCCTATGTTAGATTCCCCACCTTTTAAAACTTAAACATTGTTAGCTCTCTTACTTTTGGTTATTTTGGAACTGGTTTCAAATTTGATTTTATTAACATACACTAAAACAACATAGCATTGCACCATGTTTTGTTTATATAAGATCATCTTTTATGGTTACTTCAAATATTACTCAAGTTTAAGTAATAACTTGGGTAAAAGCATTATCTGATATATATGAAGCATTTTTATGACAAACCCAGAGTTTTATATTAGATCTTCTAAAATATTCTCATCTCTTTAGAGTTTTTTCTTTCAATTTTTTAGTATGAGTTCGTTTGTTTAGCGGAATAATAGTAAAAAATGCAAGAAAGATAAATTTTTTAAAATTTTCATGTGTTTGATTAGTATGAAAAAGAAAATGATAGAAAAAATAATTTTCTTTCAAACTTGAATTTTTTCACAAATAATCAACTTTTTTTTCTTATAAAAAAATACAAAGAAATGTAAGAAAGTTGTGATATATAATTAACTTCCTGTTTTACCATTATTTTTCTTAAAATATTTTATTGGTTATTAATTTTAAAAGATTTTCTTATGAATTTAATTAATCATATAATTTGGCCCAAAGACTATTGTGTTGGCGATTCTCTTAGGATTAGGTTTCGAACCACTTTTTAAAAATTTTTTAACTTTCAACTATAATTACATTTTTTTTCTTTTTTAGACCGATTTTAATATAATTAAGGGTAATTTAAATAATTATAAAAATTTCTTATAATTTTTCTTTCTTTTAAACAATTGAATGAATTTTTTTTTTAAAAACTTTTCCGTAAATTTTTCATTCTAACCAAATACATGCATAAAAATATATTTTATATCATTTTCTTTTCTTTCACTTCACTTTCTATCATTTTAACTTTCTATCATTTTTTTCGTCCTAACCAAACGAACCAATAGGACTTTTTTCTTACTCTCCTTTTCTACTTCTTTCTCTTTCAATGCTTAATGGTGGATTTACAAAGGCTTTTGATAGTGGCTTAGTGTAGTATGGAATTCTAATGATGACTTTATAGAGTTAAATTATACTAATGCTGCAAATATTGGAATAAAGTTATATCTCTTTTGCAAAATTATTTGTAACAAGAATAAAAATAAGCTTATACCCATACGTATGCCAACCCTCTTGCTTCTTCCTCCATCCTTGTTCTTGCATGTGCTCGCTCATACGTACACACATTATTAAGAGATGTAGAGAAGTGAAGAATGAATTTTGTTTTGCTACCTAGAGAGGTTGAGGAAAGAGCTAACAACCAAAGTAAGAAGCTTCTGCATTTGGAAGAACTAACAAGTGGACGAAGATTGCAATGAAAGTGAGGGCGGATTTGCGGTAGTAATGTGTTGTTAGGTATTTGGTTGTAAAAACAAAAGGGGGGGTGGGGGGAGAGAGAGAGATAGAGTAAATCAAGGCAGAACAAGATAGGGATGTTTAGAAATGGGATAATTGGAGTAAGGAGGGAATAGATGGGGTATTTATATTTAGGGTATACATGGTTCTAGTCAAGGCGAGGCTAGTGGTTTTGGTTTGTCGAGGGTTGTCGTTGAAGGGTACAGAGGGAAAAGGGATGCGAGAGCTTGGGACCAATTAGACTTAATTTTGAATGGTAAACAAGATTAATTTTTAAGGATAAGTAAAACATTTCTTAGTTAGAAAATTTTTAATTACGATTCACGCCATATTTAAAATTTAATCGATTGATCAAATAATAAATCGAATTATCAGAGTGTCACTTAATTTATTTTAACTTTGAAAAGGAACAAAAAAGAAAAATTATAATGCTTTATCTTTTATACAAATATCAATGCAATCACTATATTTACCCCAACTAGTAAATTAACTTTTCCTCAACTCTAACTAAATAGAAGGTAGCAAAATGTTGAACCCTTTTCTCATTATAATGATGCAAAACATACTCATAAAGTTGCACCTCAACCAAGCAAGTAAACTTTTCCTCACCGCATCATTGATGACATTCCAAAGTTAAAAATAGTGACAGAAGCAAAGGAGGTTGGTGTAATTATTAAAGACTTTTGATACATAAAAGTAACTAAAATTAATTTTAGCTGTTTCACTGCTGGATTAATGGGCAGCTCTTTTTGTTCCTCAAAAAGAATCTCTCACCTCACGCGCACCTAAAGTTGTGATGAAACACCTCATTTGTGAATGGAAAGTGTATTACACGCGAAGTTTTATGGAGTGGGGAAATGTTTCTTTGTCACTGTATAGTGGAAGAAACCTCACTCTCATCTGACAGTGGATGAATTTTACTAAAAAATAATAGAGGAAGCTGGTGTTGTATTTCCAAGGACAATTTTACCCTTTATTCTTTTAGGGGATACTCAACTTTACCTTTTTTTTTTGAGATGGTACTTAGATTCCATAAATAAGTGATAAACAAAATAATAATATCTTGATACGTAATTACTGATATGGGGATTATTTTCAATATTTAAAAAAATTTGGAACTATCGACCACCTTTATAATGAAAAAAATAGTATTAGCAATTAATATTATCATTTTCTTTCTTAAATAAACACACATGTTTTCAAACTTATTGTTGTTTGGACTAATAAATAACTCTTATTTAAATAAAAGGCACTACATCCGTGCATTTCCTTTTTTTTTTCTTTCTCTTCTTCTCCATGCTTATTCTTTGTATGCTAAATAGACTCAAAACACACATTATTAGAGTATAGTTTCTAAGACCACAAAGGAAAGATTGTTTATTAGCTTAATCTTAAATAGTGCTTTTACGGTCTATATTTCCTTGAGAAAATAGGTAGACAAGGAAAAATCAAATAGAGGTAGGATGAGGGAAAGCTGGTTTTAAAGTTGGATGGAAGTCTACCCTTTTGTCCTTTTGTTTCTTTTTGGCTCAAAATTAACATGCTTTTGAAGATAAAGGGCCAAGGAAGAGATGTTGAAGGGGTTAAGGGACAAAATACTATAACAAGGACATGGAGTGCCAATAGCAATTCCAAGGAAGCATGCAATGCAATTTCAGTATTAAGGAATATAGGATTTGTGCTTTACCTCCTGTTGAAGCGTCACTCACTTCCTTCACACTTCACAGAGAGAGACAGAGGGAGCAAAACCCCAAGCCTAGATATCTGTGTCTGTGTTAATGTGCGCAGATCTGCTCTGTTAGGCTCTCAGCTGCTCATTGGTGCATTTTAGCCCAACCCACAAACCCTAGAAACCAATTCTCTCTCCTGGGAGTAGTAGTTGGGGCACCTTGTTGTTTCTGCTACATTTGGCTTTTCTGTACCTAATTTTCTCTCTCATCCCATCCTATTCCTATTTCACTCCCTACAACAAACAGTCTCCTTGTGCTTTTCCTGCTCGTGTTTTCTCAAAATAATAATTTGTTTCTGGAAAACAAAAGCAAATTGTGGGTTGGTGTGTGTTTTGTGGGGTTATAGAGTGAAGAAATTTCAGATCTGTTACAAGAGATGATGACATTCAAGTGTAGCTCATTGTTGATATAATTATTAGAAGTCTCTTCTTTTCTGACTTAAAGCTCTACAACCCACTTTCTTCTTTTCTCTGTTCTTGCCAAGACTTCATCTTTCTGTCTCTTTCTTTTTGGTTTGAGGGCTTTTTGATTTTCTCTCTGTTTTGGGGGGGAAAGAACTGTTGGTGTTGAAGTCTTTACATTGTTCTGCCAAAAGGGTCAACCTTTTTTTTTCTTGGGTGTTTTCTAGACTTGTGGAGAGAGTGAGAGGCTAGAGAGAGAAAGTTAAGAGATCATTAGCAATGCTGGCGTTGGGGAGTCCTACTACTAGTGTCCGCCCCAGCATTAGTTGCAATGCTTTACTCAGAGAACTTCAGGTTTCTTTCTCTTTCACATTTGCTTGGCCTTTCTTTCTGTTTGTCATTTCATCCCTTCTCTCTCTGGGCTTCTTATTACTCTCTCTCTCTCTCTCTAAGAAGTTGTAACTGTATGGAGCTCTGTTGGCCTAAATTTTAGTTGAGATTTTCTCGAATTTTGTTTGTAGCTTCATTTTTGTGAGTTAGGATGAGAATTTATGCTATGTGGGTGGTTGAATTATTGTGGGTTCCTTCAAAATGTGATGAATTGTGGTTTGGGGAGAATTGAATTGAAGTGGATATTTTTAATTTTGTTTTGTTTTTCATTGCTTTTTTTAAATAAAAAAAAATTCGTGTCGGTTTTGTGGAGTTGGGGAACATTAGAACTGACAAATGGTAGGTTTGCATGTAAGGTTGTTTTTGTTGGTGAATTTAGTTACTATTATGTTCAGAAACTTGTTTTTTATGTGCTGTTTAGCAAATAAGTACTACCAACGGGGTTGAATTTTAAGAGGTTTCTTTTAGTTTTTGTTAATACTGGAAGCGTCTTTTACTCGATTGTTTTGTGGGACTTGAGGGGGAATATTAATGTTTCTGTGCAGCCCTTGGGGTTTTGGATCAAGTCCATGTTCGTTCTTCTAATTATGAATGTGTAGCATATATATTCCTTACCAATTTGAGAGAATTTGCGTTCATTTCTTTCATGTAAGAGAAAATAGTGATATCCCATACATAGTCTATATTTATTTACTTATAATCTTCATTTTGCTGTTCTAATGAGCAGCAAATTTGGAGTGATATTGGCGAGAGCGAAGCCGATAAAGATCGTATGTTGTTGGAACTGGAGAGAGAATGCTTAGAAGTTTACCGAAGGAAAGTTGATGAGGCTGCCAATGCAAAGGCGCGTCTCCATCAGTCTATTGCAGCTAAGGAAGCCGAGCTTGCGACACTTATGGCTGCTCTTGGGGAACTTAACATTCATTCACCGGTAAACAACGAATCATCTTTAGGAACTGAAACCATCATTATTAATGGTTTTATCTTTTAAATTTTCCAGTCATTTATGTATCCTTTTCTTTATTCTGATTGATCTCTACGTTTATTCTTTCTTTAGTTTGTATAGCTCTATAAACAAAGTATTATGCTAAAACTGATTTTCCTTGAACATGTGAATGTTACTTTCAAGATCTTTGATTATATATAGCATTGGATTATGCCTTATCATAACGCCTATTGATAATGTTGATCATCATCCGGGTACAAAGTTAAGGTTGGTCGAAGTTAAAAATTTCAATTTGGTTAAATTGGTACAATATTTTAAATGTTTTGCATGTTTTGGGTATTGACTACTCCCCCCCCCCCCAAAAAAAAAAAAAGGCGGATGCAAATTTGTAATGCAGCAATATCCGTAGCTTAACTTTCACTATTAAATGTCTTATAACTTTTTCGTGGGGATGCACATTGGGAGCAACATTGGCTGTGAGGTTTAATGCTGAGAGGCTAGGAAAGTAAATAAAAACTTCTTACTTGTGAAAGATACACGACTCTGGTTTGTTGGTTTTCTTCTCTATCCTGATTTATTTTGGCAAATGGATTTGGCTAGGTCAAGTGAAAACCTTTTAGGTTCAGCATTTTTGGTTTATAGCAATTTTTTCCATTTTTTTCCATTTTGGAATTTTCTCTTGATTTTGAGTTGAGACCATCTTAATCACTCCATTCCTTTTCTGGGTTACACTAATCAAGACGTTTTGTTAAATTCTTTATCCTATCTTGGGATTCTCTCACAGATTTCTTGCCATTGCTAGTTTAATCCTTCATTTTTGCTGGATATATGAAGTGAGACTGGAAGTGAGCATTAACCTTCATTAAAGACCAAGGGCAATGGCTTGCTGATGTGTCATGTGACTCATGTGTGATGGTCCACTTCTAAACGTTTCTTTTTCAGATTTTCCATATATTCTCACAACTCTTTTATTTTGCACACATTTGCCAGACATGATTTTTGATTTCATTTTCTCATTCTGAATTACTTTTTTGCCCATAGAAGTTTATTTTGTGCCATGGATAAGATGAGACTTACCGACAACAGTGCTCTTCTAATTCTGCTATTAACTACGAGTTAACCAAAACAAGGAAGAGATATAAAAATCAACATTCAAATTATTTTGATATATTAGATGGTCAAACAGGTGATAAACCTTATGATCATGTGCATTGTTCTCCAGAGAGTATTCACCTATAAATACTTGTCTTTTTTTTTTTTTGAAACTTTGGTTTTTATGGAATCTTGTGTTACTTTGGTTCATAGCTAAGTTGCTACTACCCTGTGGCCCTTTCTAACTCTGTGTTTTACGCCTGAAATTGGAATGCCTTTCTTTATCTGAGTTTGTAGCTTTAGAACAAAAGTGAGAGCTGAGCTACAAAAAGAAACTGTACTCACATTATTTGTCCACCTTGTCGCATAAGGTCTTCGATGTCTTGCTTTTTTGTTTTGAACTTAGTTACTTATTAGTAATGTGCCACTCTTATTGGTTAGTAATAATGTGCATAAAGATTCTAGCATGATAGGTGAAGTAGGATATCAGCATTTTCAATAACCGATAGAATCCCCAGGGCAGTTAAAATTTAAGGTCAAAACTATAATTATCATTTGATATTGCTTGCTGACTGTACATATTCTGAAATGAACAGATCCAGTCAGAGAAGAAAGGAACAGCATTGAAAAAGCAACTTGCATCAGTCGCCCCACTGGTGGAAGATTTGAAACTGAAAAAAGAGGAACGAATTAAGCAATTTTCAGATATACAGGCACAAATTGAAAAGATTTCCGGTGAGATATCAGGATGTGGTCATTTTATCAGTCCTGTCAGTTCTTTGAATCTGGAAGAACAGGACTTGTCACTAAGAAAACTTACTGAATACCAGTCACATCTTCGTGCTCTGCAAAAGGAGAAGGTATGCCTGCAGTCAATGCTTTCTCAGCCAATGTCTTCTGTTTGGAGGTCAAATTTCATTGACAGCACTCATATTGTGAATAACTTGTAATTTTTAGCGGATTTAACAATATTTTTCTGGTGATTCATTGCATTTATGACCCATTTCTCAAATTTAGGTAATCTTGAGAAGTTTTGATTGGTATTTAAAATTTAATACAACAGTAAGAAACTTCGTTAAGTCTAGACTTGCAGATACAATTCATGATTAACCAAATGACCATTCTTTCCTGTTTCCAATCTGCGTAGTGGTCTAGTGGGCATTGTCTAAAATTGAAAGTAACTAGAAATAGATACCCTTCAGTTTACTCCCCATTAATGGAGGTTCATTGGGGGTGGATTGGGTATAGAGACCTCACCTTTGGTATTGCTTGCACGAAGTGGTTTCCCTCATGTTCGAATCTGTTAAGTTTAGAGAAATAAACTCAATATTAGAGAAAGACGGAGAGTGGTTACAACTTAACTTACTCTCACAAAAGTATTTGTATTTATAGTTAACTCATAATATAAGAATTACACATACATCCTCTTGTATTTACACATAGTACCCTAACACTATTAATAAATTACGCACAATACCCTAATACTTTTAACACTCCCCTTCAAGCTGGACTATATATATCATATAATCCAAGCTTGGAACAAATTGCTGTAAGACGTGTACGACTCAATGATTTGATGCACATATTTATAAGCTGATCTTCAGATTTTACAAATGAAGTCAGTAATTTTTCCAGCTACTATCTTGTCTTGAATAAAGTGACAATCAACCTCAATATGTTTAGTTCTCTTGTGAAACACTAGATTGCCTGATTGTCACAGAACAACTGTAAATGAGGATGAACTGGAAACCCAATTTCGTGAAGGAAGTGCAGTAGCCAAGTCAATTCACTCGTTGTATGTGCCATTGCCCTATGTTCAGCTTTAGCACTAGATTTTCCTACCATTGGTTGTTTCTTATTTTTCCATGAGACAACATTACCACCTAAGAAAGTACAATAATCAATGGTTAATCTCCGATCAGAAGGAGAGCCAACCTAATTAGCATCTGAGAAACCTTCCACTCTAAGATGTCCATTAGCTCGATATAACAATCCAAATCCAAAAGCATATTTGAGATATCGTAGAATACGAGTAATTGCCTCCCAATGTGGTACTCTAGGACACCTTATAAACTAATTTATTATACTGATTGCATAGTAAATATCTGGTCGGGTAATAGTGAGATAATTGAGCTTCCCAACCAATCTGTGATATCGACCCGAATTCTCAAACAGTGCATCATCATCTATCAACAGTTTTTGATTTGGATCTATAGGAACATTAATCGGCTTGCCACCCAACAAACATGTTTTCTCTAGCATGTCAAGTACATATTTCCTCTTAGATAAACAAATACTCTGTTTAGACCGAGCTACCTCAATACCCAAGAAATACCTGAATTTTTTCAAGTCCTTTGTATGAAATCGATCTTGTAGGAAGATTTTTAACTTGACAATACTCTCAGAATCATTTTTAGTAATCACAATATTATCTACATAGACCACCAATAGAACATAATCAGCATTCGTCTGTCTATGAAACACAAAATAGTCTATCTGCCATCGAAGAAGACTAAACTCTAAAATTGCATCTGAAAACTTACCAAACCATGCTCTCGGTGATTGCTTTAAATTATACAAAGATTTCTTTAACTGACATACACTCCTGTACTCCCCCTGAGCAATAAATTTAGGATATACCTCTTCAACCAAGTCACCATGTAGAAGGACATTCTTGACATCTAACTGAAATAAAGGCCAATCAAGATTAACAGCCAAAGAAATCAAGATCCGAACAGAGGAAATTTTGGCAACAGGAGAGAAAGTCTCCTCATAATCAATACCATAGGTCTGAGTAAAGCCTTTTACAACAAATCTAACTTTGAGACACTCCACAGAACCATCCGGATGAAATTTAACAAAATATACCCAACGACAATCAATAGTTTGCTTATCAGGAGGTAAAGGAACAAGATCCTAAGTCCTATTATGATATAAGGCATCATCTCCTCCTCCATAGTTTTCCTTCAACTCGGATCAGATAACGCATCCCGTAAGTACTTAGGAATAGAGATAGTAGATAATTGAGAGGTAAAACAAGAGAAGACAGGAGACAGAGCATTATATGAGACAAAATGAGCAATAGGATGACTAGTAACACATGAATGAGTACCTTTGCGAAAAGCAATAGGTAAAGAATCTAAATTACCTGATGTAGCAGGATCAACAGATGACAAGGAAGACGGTACGAGTACCTCAGTCGATGGGCGAGGACAACGAAAGTATACACGAATAGGTAAAGTGGATGGTGACACAGTAGGTAGCGGAATATCTAACGGTGAGGAAAATATGGTGATACAAGAGAAGTTTCAAAGTCTAAATCCAGAGGCTGAGTAGGTGCCAAAAAATATGGAACAGATTCCCCAAATGTGACATCTGCACTAGTAAAGTATCGTTGTAGGGAAGGACTATAGCAACGATATCCCTTCTGTGTGCGAGAATAGCCAAGAAATACACATTTGATAGCTCGAGGGTCAAGTTTATCAAATCCAGGTCCCAAGTTGTGAACATAACCGACACACCCAAAAACCTTAGGAGTTAAGGAGAATAAGGATTTACTAGCGAAAAGGACAGAATATGGACTTTGTCCATTTAACACATGTGATGACATACGATTAATAAGATAACAAGCAGTGAGAACAACATCACTCCAAAAATATTGGGGAATCTAGAATAACAGTGCATGGGTCACTTCTAACAAAGGACTATTTTTGCGTTCAACAACACCATTCTATGGAGATGTGTAAGCATAAGAAGTTTGATGGATAATGCCAGTTTTATTAAGATAAGTTGAAAAAGAATCAGATTCATATTCTCAAGCATTATCAGAACGTAAAATACGTATATGACAATCATACTGAGTTTTTATTTCCTTGCAAAAGGTCTCAAATATAGAGAATGATTCAGAACGAGTTTTCATCATAAACAACCATATCACACGAGAATAATCATCCACAAATGACACAAAATAAGGATATTTATTAGATGAAATATTTTTTATTGGACCCCATACATCAGAGTGTACCAACTCAAATAGATTAGACACACGATTATTGACTTTAGACTGAAAGGACACACAGTACGACACATAATTAAGATTGAGAACTTTGCGCTTCAGATTCTGGAGAGAGGGATGTCTAAGATGACAATGCTATTGAAAAGGTGATAATGAGGTTTGTAGAGCCTGAGTAGGTGAATCAAAGTCAAAGTAATATAGGCCACCAACTTCATGTCCCGTACTAATCTTTCTCTTCGTTTTGAGATCTTGAAAGACACAATAAAAGGATAAAAGGTTACAAAATAATTTAGAGAATGGGTAATCTTACTAATAGAAAATAAACTAAAAAGAAATTGAGGAACAAATAACACGGAGGATAAGGACATATTAGGACTCAAGTGAGTAGTCCCAAAACTTGAAACTTTAGAACAAGTACCATTAGCAAGAGTAACACTGTGTGGAAGTAGCAGACTGATAAGTAGAAAAAACACCAGACGCACCAGTCATGTGGTCAGAAGCTCCAGTCTATGATCTAGGGACTGCGAGTGGATGACAATAAACAAGTGGAAGTGGTACCTGACTGGGCAAAAGTAGCAGTGGAGGATGGAATAGCTTGTTGCTGGGACATGAACTAAGCATACTCTTCACGTGTAATAGTAACCAACCCAGAGTCTGGTGGAGCTGACTGAGGTATAGAAGCAACAACTGAGGTATCATCCTGATAGGAAACTTGATTAGCAGCACCAGAAGGTTTTCAATGTAAATCCCAATAAAAGTCAACGGTATGCCCTCCACGACCACAGTGAGTACAAGAACAAGGTCCACTACAACCTCCACGACCACTCGTACGACCTCCACAACTACCATGATTACCACGTCCACTTTGGTGACCATCACTGTGGCTATTAGGAATCGCAAAAGTTGAGCAATCAGTGGAGACATTATGATCGATGCCTGAAGGAGTAGACAAAGTAGCACGTTGTAGACGAGAGAAAACCTCAAGTAAAAAGGGAAGACTAGAACCACCCAAAATTTGAGAATGAGTAGCCTCATGATCAGGTTTCAATCCTACCAAAAACCTAACAACATCCAAATTCTCATGTTACTTCTGCCAAACTGTTACATCAGTTGTGAACGGATGATAGAGCTTCAACTCCTCATAGACTCCCCGAATGTGGGAGTTATAATCCTCAAGGCTCAGAGTACCCTGATCCAGCTGGAAGTACTGCTTGCACACCTCATAAGCAAGGGTAAAATTACTTATGTTAGAATACATAGTGGCCAAGTGATCTTATATCTCTTTGGCAGTGTCAAGGTAAAGCAGAGTAGAACTAATACTCGGTTCAATGCTATTCAATAGTAAAGAGATAATCTGAGCATCCTCCTGTTCCCACTGATCATATCCAGAAGTATCTTCCTTAGATTTGGGATTAACCAAAAATTTCTTAAAACCTTTGCCTCGAAGAAAGACTTGAACGAAACGAGACCATAAAGTATAATTGATCCCATTGAGTTTAACGGAAGTCATGGGACCATTAATAAGTACCGGAGAAGTAGGTGGCAAAAATGAAGCAATAGCATCTTGCTTAGGTTCCATAATAATATAGCAGATAGCAAAAAATAGGAGCAACCGTATTGCTGGATAACTGAACGGAGCAAAGCAAATAGTAAAAAAAAAATAGCAACTTGATTATTGGACACTTGAACGCAGCAAGAGGAAGCAGCTGGACTTCTGAACAGACAAGAGAAGACCACTGGATTGTTGAACCAGATTGAAAAATCTCGTTGGACTGCTGAATTGGACTGAACGCTGAACCGGTTAGAAAAGATAAACTGGATGGTTGAACCGGTGTGAAAATTGATAGAACCGGTGCCAAACTAACTGAACCGGACTAGAATGGATCAAATCGGGACTGAACCGGCCTGAAACGGACCAAACTGGGATCGAACCGGCTAGAAACGGACCAAACTGGAACTGAACCAGCCTTGAACCGGTTTGGTCTAGGTCTTGGGCTGGACCGGTTTTTGTTTGGATCTTGGGCTGGACTGGTTTTTGTTTGGATCTTGGGTTGGACCGGGTCTTGGACTGAAACCGACCCGCAACTGACCCAAACGGACTTTGTCTTCTTCGTTTGATTAGGGTTTCAAGAGAAACCTCAATTTTCAACTGCAGCGCAATCGACTCAATGGCACACCACCACAAGGTTACACAGTACAATGACACCAGGCACACCACCACAAACGACCACAACAGCACCACCCAAACCACCGCGAAGCCACCGTTGTCGATGACCATCACAATCGCAGATCACAGAGGATCGACGACACCTCACACCGGACACCTCCACCACTACGCTGAACCCGACAACAGCACCACAACAACAGTCACACCATAGCACCACCACCACAACGACAGCAACACCACAACACCACCACCACAACGACACCACTTCAAGCCAAGATATTTTTTTTTTGCAGCACAAACACTAAGATTTGTATTTAGGATCAAATTGCTCTGATACCATGTTAAGTTTAGAGAAATAAACTCAATATTAGAGAAAGACGGAGAGTGGTTACAACTTAACCTACTGTCACAAAATCACTTGTATTTATAGTTAACTCATAATATAAGAATTACACATACATCCTCTTGTATTTACATATAGTACCCTAACACTATTAACAAACTACACACAATTCCCTAATACTTTTAACAGAATCCACAACCAAAAATCTTATTGGCTTGAATTTTGACCTCTAAATCAGTGGCCCCCTGTTTCGAAAGGAAAACGAAACAGTCAACTACATGGTTATAGTGTCAGCAATTCTATCCAGTGTCCATTTTTTTGTCAATGGTTATTGTGGAACCTGGATTATTATTCTGTTACACCTTTCCCCATTTGGTTTGTCACAGAAATGGAGTGATCCTATGGTGTCCTATACTGAAACAATCCTCCATGATTCAAGATTCTTTTATGCTAGTATTGAAGATGCAGACATGTTCAACTGTTCTGAATGATGTAATTCAATTTTGTGATTTTCATCTTTCGTATTGATTAGTGTGTGAATTTACTGTTTTGCAGTCGGAACGCCTCCAGAAAGTACTAGAGTGTGTGAACGAGGTGCATTCCTTGTGTGGTTTGCTTGGGTTGGATTTTGGAAAAACCGTGAGTGATGTGCATCCGAGCTTGCCTGGTGCTAGCATGGAACAGTCTACGAACATCAGCGATAGCACATTGGAAGGCTTAGATCAGGCCATCCTTAGGTTAAAAACAGAAAGGAAAGTTCGGTTTCAGAAGGTATTGCAAGCTTCCATAGTCTTGTGTTGTAGTTTGTTTTTGTTGTGTACATTAATCCCTGTCCTGAAATGCAGTTGAAGGATATTGTTGCATCACTGTTTGATCTCTGGAATTTAATGGACTCAACGAAGGAAGAGAGGAGTAACTTTTCGAGGATTACTTCAATTCTTAGATCATCAGAATCAGAAATTGTGGAGTCAGGCGCTCTTTCAATGGAGATTATTCAGCAGGTTTGGAAGCACACTTAGTTCTCATATTTATCTTATGTAGGAGGGGATTTTCCTTGAGATATTTATTCTTGACAGGTATCCTCTGAAGTGGAGAGGCTTACTAAACTGAAAGCAAGTAGGATGAAGGAATTGGTTATGAAGAAGAGATCAGAACTGGAGGATATATGCTGTAAGACCCATATCGAACCTGATCCAAGCACAGCTGCTGAGAAATCTCAAGCAATGATAGACTCTGGTACATATTGTCTTTGGACCACAAGCTGTCTCCTATGTTGGAGATTTAATTTGCAAAGTAATGAGATCCACGTGTTTTTGTCTTTTAGGTCTTGTTGATCCTTGTGAACTTTTGGCAAACATTGAAGCGCAGATAAGCAAAGCAAAAGATGAGGCCTTGAGCCGTAAAGAAATAATGGATAGAATTGAAAGATGGCTTTCTGCTTGTGATGAGGAAAATTGGCTTGAAGATTACAATCAAGTAAATTAAGAATGATTTTAGGCATATTTCCTAGTAATGTATGAAATGGGATGGGTCTAAGATCATGAAATTGCAAGATCTGGTTTCTAACTATTTTTGCTTCTAAAAGGATTGTTTTTTTGGTATTTCCCATTTTTGTTGTTCAGCATAGCTGATGAAAGTAATTTGTTTTCTGAACAAAATGAACATTTGCAATTTCCCACATTACAGTTTATTGCGAGAGCTACTAGATCTTGGCTTGTTTTAACTTCTTCTTTGTTGATTATCAGGATGAGAACCGGTATACTGCTGGAAGAGGTGCTCACATAAACCTAAAACGTGCAGAACGAGCTCGAATGGCTGTCAATAAGATTCCAGGTATCCTATTTTGGCCTTCTTAATGATGTGCGCTGTTGTCTGTGCTGGTATCATAATTTGGAGCTGACAAGCTTTTATTTTCAGCTATTGTTGACAATTTGGTGAATAAGACACTAGCTTGGGAAAATGAGACTAAGAAGTTGTTTCTTTATGATGGAGTAAGTCCTGCAGCATGGGATTTCTAGATCATTCATTTTTCTGATGGGGCTGTTCTTTTAGTAAACTTGTCTACTCCATTATCTGTAGGTGCGCTTGGTGTCAATACTGGAGGATTACAAAATAACAAGACAACAGAGAGAAGAGCAGAAGAGGCAATTTCGGGTAATTTTTTGTTCAAGTTATTATGACATCAGAGAAACATGTAGAAATCAAAAAACAAAAAAAAATTGACTCTAGATTTTTAGTTCTTGAGTTTTTTACCAAAACGTTTTGATATGTAGTTATTGAAATAACATATCTTTCCTGTTCAAAAAAAATAAAGTAATAACATATATTTCACAACTTTTCATTGAAAGAAAAAAATGTATACAAATTAGTCTAATTCTTTGAGCTCAACATTAAGTAATTTCCATGCTTTGTGAAAGTACACTTAATGGCATTACTGAGGATGTTGTGCTGCTATGCTATCTTCAACAGGACCAAAAGAAACTCCACGATATGCTGCTTACAGAGAAGGAAGCCATGTTTGGTTCTAAACCTAGCCCGAGAAGAAGCACTAGCTTTAGGAAGGCAAATGGGTATCGTGCAAATGGAAACGGATCTGTGACTCCATCACCCCGCCGGAATTCTGTTGGCTGTGCAACGCCAGAGCTTCTAACACCCCGATCCTATTCAGGGCGTCAAAATGGGTATTTCAAGGAAATGAGAAGGTTGTCTACTGCACCACTGAACTTTGTGGCGATAACAAAGGAAGATGTCATGTCATTTTCATCTGTTTGTGGTTCTGAGCCCGAGTCTCCTCCTCAAGCCTGAATTTGAAACTTGTATAGGTATGTTCTGCCTTATTTTCCTTTTTAACTTTACTGTGCCATTTGGCATTAAAATTCTTTGATTTGTTGGCAATTGGACATTACTAAGAAAATGAGTCATCACTTTTATGTCAAATTCCCTGTTTTTGGCAATGAAGCTGTTTATGAAAATGAGGAAGTTGGATCCAATGTGGTTAAAGTCCCAAAAAAATGTTGAAGTTAAATTCCTCCAGAGGGTTTTTTGCATGGAACAAATTTGATTATGTTCAGGTAATGTGAAGACAAAGTTATTTGTATGCATCATCGTGAGTATTCCTGTTTGATGGGTGTTCAACAAAGATTTATAATTGAAGCGAAAGTAATAATAAGTACTTACCAAAAAAAAAGGAGAGAACAATTTATATTTTTATAAGCATTTCCTTTGATATCAAGGCCCTAAGAATTGATGCATGCCATGTTTGTTGAGTTTGTGGGGTTGTTCACCCAACTAACCAGAACTGCAGACATGGACCTAAGTCTGGAGCAGTACATGGATACCTGAGCCTCTTGGGCTGTATAATAACAATGTTTATTTTCTATGCTTTTGGGGAAAGCAGATTGGAATGCACTGTATGAGTCATGTAGAAGTAACTGAAGTTTTTGTCCACCAATCTTTTCAAAAAATTCATGGCCTAGCAAAATTTTCTGTCCTTTGAACTTGTATTTTAAATGATTGTGCAGGGATAAGCAATCTTTTCTGATTTCAAAGACAGTATTGTGGATTAGATCTGTGGAAAGCTTGTGAATATAGAAGGGAATGCTCACTACTTTATGACTGTGATATGGTAGGAGAACTTGGAAGGTGGTAACTCACATTTTGAAGAACTGTGTTTCCGTTTTGGTAAAATGCTGCAAGAAGTGATGCTGATGGATTATTGTGAATATACTAGTTACTTCTAGTCTTGTTGGTTGAAATAGGTTATACTGAGAATATGTGTTTGAGGATTTCATTGTGATTTACATCTGCATGTACATATTTTTGTATTTCAGTGTGATGACTATGATTTGTAGGAGCCTTGATTTTCTTTTGTTAATGCAGACTAGAGTGTTTGAAAAGGATTTAAATTTTCTGGGTTCCATATACAGTTGGCAGTTGATCTTCATGACTCATTTTATGCTTATGATTCTGGAAAATGGATGCCCTATTATACGAGTGGATCCCTTTCAATAGATTTTCTCTTGAAGTTTCTTCTTGACGGGTGATGGTATGTAGAATGCAACAGAGCAAAATTAGTGTTATGGGGTTTGAACTAAGCTACAAGCGACTCGAGAATAATGAAGCTACTATCCGTTAAAAAGATAGATTGTACAAAAGATTTATAATGGTTCATAAGATTGAGAGTTCGGTTAATCCACTCTTCAAAGGAGTCTCTTGTTCATAAGAATTATATTAAAGATGGTAAAGAGATTACACAGTTCTTAGGGTTAGATCGATTGCTTGCCTCAAAGTGAGAACTTTGTACAATATTTATAGCTTAATTCTTAGTTCCATGGAGTTTGGGATGAGATCTTCACATCTCTTTTGTAATGCTTTGCTTGATTTCAAGCGTTGGTCCAAGCGGTTGATGTTCTTGCACCTAGACTGACGTTTACTGTTGTTAAGGGCGTGTTTAGTGGTTGTCAGCTGTTTTTTACTCATGTTTGTTGAGGCGCGGACCTTGAGGGAGTTTAAGGTCTAAACCTCCGAGCTCGAGCTTCCTTGGCTGAGCTCTTTTCCTGACTTCGATGGCTAGGTATCATTAGTTATCCTCCACTCTCTGGTCAAAGTAAATTTAGTAGGGGCTGAACTGAGGTTGGGTCGAGTTAGGTCTCCATTGGTCAACCTCGAGTCGTGTGTGATGGGACTCCATTCTGACGGTTTTGTTGAACATGCAATCATTCTTTCCTTATTTCTCGCGCACGTCTTATATTTCGAAGCCTCCACGTACCCCAAGCTTTAAATGCTCCATAAGCGGGGGAAATCGCCTTACTTTCCCTTTCGTCTTCTTTTAGGCCCTTGTTTTTTTGTTTTCCTTGCGATTTTGGTTTCCTCAATTTGCTGGTGATCTTAGGGTTTCACTAAAAATCAACTTCCCCCGACTTAGTTTGAAGGTTCTGTGAGGCTTGCTCTCCGATTTTTCTTTAGGCTTCAATTTATCGCTCTCGGTTAGGTACGCTTCTTAGCCCTGTTCATTTCTTCGTTCTGGATCCCCCAAATCCGAGGTGGTTGCTGCATTTTTGGACCTTTCGTTTTTGCTACTTTAAGAATAGAGGCTACTCCTTGTCCTCTTTTCCCCTCTTTCTGAATTCTTATTCCACTGTTAGAGTTTTCCTCATTGATTGTTGTTATCTTGACCCTCTGACTCTCAGCGATTGTTTTGCTAGCGTCCCCTTTCCTTATTCCTCCTTTCATCTCCCTTTTTCCAACTCCATCATGTCTGGTTCTTCCGAAACTACTGCTTCATCGATCTTTCTTGCCATGGGTGAGAGATTTGCTGGAGAAGAGGACATTGATTTAGAAGATGTAAGTAAGGAGATTGATAATTTCTCTTGTGTCGATTCTGTTGGTGTTGGGGAAGAAGCCGAAGAGCTCCCCCCATCATCTTCCCCAGTGCCGAAAAAGTCCAAAAAAGATAAAACTAAAGTGAGTGGCATTGAAATTTTTGTCAGCGCTGAGGGTGCAAAGGTTGCCCCCAAAGCTTTAGACCTCGTAGGATTTAGTCAGGTCACGCCCCCTTATATGAAGGTTTTGTCTGCTCGTTTCGATTTTTCTCAAGGTATGCATTACTAGTGTCCTCACGTGGACGTTAGATATGACTCTCAAAACCCCAAGAAAGTCTGCTTCTTTGTGGTCGCTTTCGAGAATGACCTTAGTTTTCTAATTCACCCATTTCTCAAGGGCATTCTTCAACATTTTAATGTTTGTCTTACTCAACTCTCCCCCAATTTTTGGGGTGTTCTGGTCAGTCTCCTCATTTTCTTCAAGAAGTATGAGCTCGCAGTTCCTACAGTATCTTTGCTCATGAAATTCTTCAATGTCAAGTTCATTCCTTCTGATGGTTGCTTGTACATTTCCAAACAGATAAAAATCTGAGTCATCATTATTGACCTCTGAGCTCCCATAAACGCTAGAAGAAGTTCTTTTTTTTTGTGTCGGGAAGAGAGTGGGAATACTATCGTGAAGACGTAACTGACACCCTCCCAATACCTTGGGCTTGGTCTGCCCCTGATAATCTGGGTAAACCTTGCCTGAGTAAACTTAGTTCAGCCTTGTCAATTTGATTCGCTGACCTTGTTATGCTTGATTTGTTTTGCTTTTATTAGGTATTCAACCCGGGTTCAGTGGTGAGGACAAGCTAGTTCTGCTGAGCTTAAAGGATTGCGATCCAGAGAAGTATTCCGAGCTCATCAAGCCCGAGGTGCTTACCAATCTTGAGTTTAGTGCTCCAGAGGTGAGGATTGAGACTCCTGTTTCCTTTTTTGTTGTTGGTGCTAAGGAGGCTGCAGGTAACTCTTTCATTCTATCCTTAACTTCTATTCTTTCTCTTTCTTCTCTCTCTTTTTTTTTTTAAATCCGTTTGTTTTGGCTTCTATGTTCTAGCTCAATGGGTCCTGGTTCGAAGGCTCTAAAGGCAAAGGTTAACCAGTTAAAGAAGACCAATAATAGGAGTAAACGCAAGGTCGAGGTCGGATTAGGAAGTGGTTCTATCCCCCAGCCAAGGTGCCAAAGTCAGAGGTGCCTCCTGCTTCTCCCTTTTCTTCCCAAGTGACTCTTATTCCGTCGTCGAGCTCACTGAAAATCGCACAGATCTCACTTCCTCAAGGTACTATGCCTTCCTCATCTGGAGGGGATCCTAAGCAAACCACAGTTATGACCTCTCCTTCCTCGGCAAAGGCCGAGGGTGCCTTGGAGATGATCGCTCGCATTCTGCCTAGGTCTATCCCCTTTTGGATCGGCTGAGAAGTCTCATTAGCTACTTTTGAAGGGCTCCAAGATTGAGAAAGACGAGGCCTCCCTTATTGACAACATGAAACTTGCTGCAGAGTTCATTGCCTTCATCATTCTCGAGTCTAATATTCAAAGGGCTGCCTCTATGTCCCTTGGAACTTCTGCTGCTACGGCCTTGTATGGAGTTACTTTGGTAAGTTTCTAATATTTTCAAGTTCTATTGTAATTTTACATTGTCACTTCGTGTTGACTTTAGCTTTTGGTTGTGTTGCTCTTAGTTGGCCATTCATGTGAGTGCTTTGGTAAGTCTAGTCAGAGCTCTAGAGAGCTCAGCCAAGGCGTCGAAAGCCTTTGAACTCAAGGTTGCCGAGTTGACTTTTGCCAATAAGGACCTTGAAGCTTAGGTTCAGGACTTGCGAGCTCAAGTGGAGAGGTTATCTTCTGCTAATGTGGGTTTAGAGGCTGAGAAAGGGAAAGCTGAGGGAGAGGTCAAAAAGACTAAGGACGAGCTTAGGATGAAGACGGACGACTGGGCTAAAGCTCGCAAGGAGGCCTTCGCGGCTCTAGAATCCTATAAGGCCATAAAGGGAGAATATGACCTTCTAGATGAAGTAAATAACACTCTTCGAAAAGAGATTGAGGTGGTGAGAATTGTTGTTAAACAGAAGGATGCTCTGATTGCTAAGTTGAAAGATGATATTACTACCAAATGGGCCACTGGATGACTTGCTTTCCAAGATCAAGCTGAGTGAATGTACCTAGACATAGACTATGATTTTGATACCCCTTCAGATAAGGAGGAGGAAGAGCCAAGTGTTGAGAAAGAGACTGAGGTTTTAGCTCCCTCTGTTTCTGAGCTTGCTCCTGGGGGTGTTGAGGTATCTACCTCTTCTGTCGAGATGCTTGCCCATGCAGATTCTTCTACTCCAGCTACTCTTGCAGCTCTTGACTCTACTCCAGCCTCTGTCTCTGTGACTGTTGAGCTGCCTGTAGCTCCTGTTGACCTTGCTCTAACTAATGCTCCTGAGGCTCCTGCA